TTCAAAATGCGGTCTCGCCTAATCGTCTTTAAAGTTTCCAAAAGTTACAGAGATGGAGGGCAGGTGGTTCTCAAAATTGGGCTGTCTCCTTAGCGCCGCGCACATTCGTCTTAAACGTTTCCAACAGTTTCAAGGATGGAGGCCGGTTCCTTTTCAAAATGCGGCTCTCGCAATAGCGCCGCGCACATTCGTGCACATGTAAAACGCAGTTGTCATAATCCCATGCAAAACATCATGCAACGTCCACGCGCGCGCGAACATGTCAAACCCATACCAAACACAATCGTATTGCAAGCAGTTCAACGTAAAAGCCGTCGAAGCCCATCGGTGCTTCAATACAAAATGTTGCAGATGTTCTGCCCGCGCGCGTTTGTTTTACGATTCGATTTCAGCGCGTGCGTCCAAAAATCGACATCTCATCTCACCTCGCGGTACATTCGCGTTGGTCTAGCATGCGTCCAGGGCATGAACAACAGTCCAAATAATACCTTACCATGCGGGACACAGCTATCCTTACATAGCCATTGGTTTTCTGAGAAGCTTGAGATATAGCTCTTCAAACACATATGAATGCTTATTTCTTACGCAAAAGAAACAATTGCTGCTCATCAAAAACCTGCCAGATGCATTGAACTTCAAAGCGCGCAGTTCCTCATCAATGTCAGGCCAATGGGGCGCCTGCTTTTCAAGGGCGCGCGTCCAGGTGTGAGAAGGACTCTTGTATGAACTTATGAGGAGGGGGCATGGGACAGGAGGGTGTATAGCAGCATCGCTGATGCATCCTGAGTTCTCTCTGGTCCTCCTCCTCCTCCTCCTCCTCCTCCTCCTCCTCCTCCTCCTGCTCCTCCTCCTCCCTCCCCCTGCCCGGGTGCCCAGAAGATGCCCGGGTGCCCGGGTGCCCGGGTGCACCTGGGGGATGCCTGGGTGCCCGGGTGCCCGGGTGCCTGGATGCCGGAATGCCCGGGTGCCCGGGTGCCAGGGTGCCCGGGTGCCCGGGTGCCCGGGTGCCCGGGTGTCCAGGTGCCCGGGTGCCTGGGTGCCCGGGTGCCCGGGTGCCCGGGTGCCCGGGTGCCCGGGTGCCCGGGTGCCCGTGTGCCCGGGTGCCGGGGTGCCCGGGTGCCCGGGTGCCCCATGCCCGGGTGCCCGGGTGCCCGGGTGCCCGGGTGCCCGGATGCCCGGATGCCCGGGTGCCCGGGTGCCCGGGTGCCCGGATGCCCGCGTGCCCGAGCGCCCGTGTGCCCGGGTTCCCGCCCGGATGCCCAGGCGGAGGAATAGTCTGATTATGCAGAGTTGGAGGGTTGCAGCCCCAGGTTGTCAGAGAGTCAAATAGTCAGAGTGATGGGCAATGGTGCGCACGTCGGCACAGTTGCAGGACATGGCTTTTCTTGGGCGCAGGCCTGGATTTCTTGCGAGGTCGTGCAGACCGAGCCTCCTGCCACGAGGAAGGACACATGTTGCATGCTGTATTGGCCACCTGCTCGACAGTCGCCTGGGTGCAGAGGTAGGTGCAGATGCGCGAAGGATTGCAACGAAGGATTGCAAAAAAACGAAGGATTGCAAAAAAACGAAGGGTTTTTTTTGCAATCCTTGGGTTTTTCTGCAATCCTTCATTCGTTGGACAGGCGCGTTCCCGCCCCCAGCCCTGCAGCCCCCCGCCCTCCCGATTCTACGCCTGGGCCGTCGGCCCTCTGGCCACAACGCGCGGGCTCTGGACGAGGACGCTGTTGTGGGCAGCAGCGGCGCCCCCGGGAAAGCGCCCGACCGGGCGCAGCGGATGGGAGGAGGAGGAGGAGGAGGAGGAGGAGGAGGAGGAGGAGATTGAACAGTCAGCTCGCCCTCGGCCAGACCGTTCCGGGGCCTCGGCCGGCGCAGGACTCCATCCGCCAGAGGGCGTTCTGGCAGCGCGCCTTCTGGGCGGTGGTCTGCGGGCGCGTCCCGAGCAGCGGCTCCGTGAACATGCCCCTCGCGAAGGCCGAGGGCTGGAAGCCCGCGCCCACGCTCACACCCGTGCGTGGAAAACCGCGTTGCCTCCCGGGCCTGCCTGTGTCAGTTCCGTCGCTTCGCCGTCAGCGGCGGCAGCACGATCGACATTCCTTGGCGCACGGCGCGCGCGATGGTCCCAGAGACCAGATCGATTCGGACACTTTCAAAAAAAGGCAGATGTTCAATTCATGTACACAGTTGTTTCCTGGACTGTGCTTGTGTTGAAGGGTTCTTACATGTCGAAGTAGGAAGTCGCTGGTCTTGCTGGGTTCCTGACTCTCGGCTCGCCCCCACCAGCACCCCATTTGCTCCTGACGCTGGCCCCCGTCTCGCTTTCGCCAGTTCCGACCTGGCCTGCGCCGCAGGTCCTTACCACTGGTCCCCTCCTTGGTTGGCCAGGAGTTCGGGCTCCTGGGGCCAACTCCCATCAGCCCCTTGCCACTAGCCTCCACCAGCCGCTGGCACTAGCCTTCATCCTGACTTGACGGGGATCGGGACTGGCCACTGCATGGTCCCAGCAGCTGGCCTCCGCCATCCCTCGTCCATTGGCGTGCAGTGATCTCCCAAGCATCCGGGCTCTTGGGACATAGCACACCCAGCCTTTGCCCCCAGCCCCCACTGGCCCCTGCCAGTTCCCGTGGGGGAGTAGTACTCTGGGGATGTCCCGAGTCGTTTGCTGGACGGCCCCAGTGAACGGGAAGGGCCCCCGGCAGACCGAGAGTGGCGAAACCAAATCAGGACCCCTCTCCCTCAGGACCCCACTTTTTCATGGCGACTGCCACAAGCTCCCTGGGGGCATGGCGATTGCCCTTCGACCCCTTCTTCTTGCCGCGAGTTTCACCCCTTGGCACCGGCCTGGGACCTGCCTTGCAAAGCCCCATGTGTATTGGGCCCTGGGTCCTGCTGCAGTTACATCAGCCGAGACCCCCCGAAATGTTACTCGTGGAACACACGCCAGTAGAGTAATTACCATGTCTTCTCGACATCAGACATCTTGCGCCTTCAAAAAAAAACGAAAAAATGTTTTTTGCTTTTAAAGTTCGACCTCCAGGGCAGCTTCTGAGCCCCAGGAGCGTCAGAAAACGGATCCGGATAAAGAAACAGTCCCAGAGGGGAGGGGTCAGGAACTCGTAGACCCAAGGACTCGAAAAACTCGAGTCATCGGAGGTCCGGGGCAAGCCCCCGTCGAGGAGCATCGAAGGCTGCGACAGGGGGCGAACAGTGGAGGGAGGGGTATCATACACATCTGTTTTTGAAGCGTCGTCTGGGTAGCCAGGTGTGCCACCGGATTGTCTGCTCATCTGGGGGAGGGAGGGTGGACCCTGGCAGTGGCCGCGAAGGCCAGGCGATCGCAAACATGGATCAAGGGGGTGTGGACTAGCGACGGGTCCCGTTTCCATGGGGAATCGAGGATTTCCGCCGCCGAACGAGGCGGCGCCGACCGCATTTTTGGGAAGGCACCTCCCCCGATCCATGGATTTGGCGACCGCGCGCCAAATCCATGGATCGCTAATTCATGTTTGCGCGCCCCCGCGAAGGAGCAGCGGGGCACGCGGATGGTCGCCAAGCCGTGCCGCGAGGACGACGGCGGTCTGGCGGCGCTCACGCAGTACAGCAGCTTGCGGTACTCGCCCCTGGGCGGGGGGCTCTCCTTGCTCGAGCTGAACCCGTACAGCGGGCGGCACCACCAGGTTCGCGCGCACTGCGCCTACGGGCTGCGTGCACTTGCCTCAGTGTCTGTCCGCTCGCGTGGTCTGATCGGGAGGAGGAGGGGGAGGAGGAGAAGGAGGAGGAGGAGGAGGAGGAGGAGGAGGAGGAGGAAGAGGAGGACGAGGAGGAGGACGAGGAGGAGGAGGGGAGGGGAGGAGGAGAGGGGAGGAGGAGAGGAGGAGGAGGGGGAGGAGGAGAGAGGAGGATAGGATAGGAGGAGGATGAGGAGGAGGAGGAGTGAGGAGGAGGAGGAGGAGGGGGAGGGGGGAGGAGGACAAGCTAGGTGCGCTCGCGTCATATCTGACATCCTACCCCTCCCTCCCATCCCTTACCATGGCGCAGATCCCCTCTCTATTCGCACAGTCGGATGTCGAGCAGGGCAATGATCCCGAAAGGGTACGCGATGCATTGTAGAGCACGGCATGGCATGGCGTAGAAGAGCACCGCAAAGCGTAGCATCAACCTAGCATTGCATTGCATGCCGTGGCATGGCACGGGAAATGACGCCAGCGCTGCAGCGGGAGCACGAGTCGGAACGAGCGGAAGCGCGGAAATGAGGCCAGCGCTGCAGCGGGAGCACGATTCGGAACGAGCGGAAGCACGGAAATGAGGCCAGCGCTGCAGCGGGAGCACGATTCGGAACGAGCGGGGCCCGAAAATGAGGCTGGCGCCTCAGCGAGAGCAGCATTTTGGAAAAAAATGCAGGCGAAAACCCAACTCCGGGGAATCCTGTGTGTAAAAAACCGTACGCGGGGGGGGGGGGGGGCTAATACTTTCAACCGTCATCAGGGGAAGAGGGAGAGTAATATTCACATTGAGTAATTGTGGAGGAGGAGGAGGAGGAGGAGGAGGACGACGAGGAGGAGGAGGAGGAGGGAGGAGGAGGAGGAAGAGAGGAGAGGAAGGAGAGGAGGAGGAGGAGAGGAGGAGGAGGAGGAGACGAGGGAGAGGAGGAGGAGGAGGAGGGGGAGGGAGGGGGGAGAGGAGGAGGAGGAGGAGGAGGAGGAGGAGGAGGAGGAGGAGGAGGAGCAGGGGGGTAGGAGGGTGGGGAGAGCCTTCCCGGGGATCGAGGCGCAGGGCCTTCCGCCGGCTGCGACTCCTCGCTCCGCTGGAGGCTGGTCGCGGGCCACCCCCTTGCGCGGCCATTGCCAGGACGGCGCAAGGCCTTCAGGCGGAGGCGCCCGGGGCCGCCTCTCGGCCGGCGGCGCTGGGGTCGCTGGATCCCGAGCGGATCGGGGCTCAAGAGACGGGGGTCAATGCAACCGGTCGTCAGCCAGAGCGCCAGATTCCGCAGGAATCCGCAGGGCCAGGGTCGCACCGACCCAGGTCTGGGCGCAGGATCCCGCAGGATTTTGCAGGATCATTCGCATTGGCCCGGGTTTGGGTGCAGGATCTTGCAGGATTCTGCAAGTCCTGACTGACCCGGGTCTGGGTTGACCCGGGTCAGTGGATCCCCGAGCGGAGAGCTTGCTCCCTTTGCTCTCCTTCTCCTGCTTCTCCTCGCCCTCCTTCTTAGCCAGTCTGGCGTTCGGCAGGCTCGCCGACCTGAGCTGCGCAGCGCGTCGCTTGCCGCACGGCATCATTGTCTGGTGTACCACGGCTTCTTTGCGATGGCACGGAGTAAGTGCACGGATGTTTGTTGTTGCAATTTCCATTGCGCGTGTCACATGTGGAGATTGGTCCATATCAGCCAGCGTTCACTCCAAATAGATAAGAGGACAGGAGGAGGACGAGAGGAGGATGGGAGGAGGACGCAAGGAGGACGGGAGCAGGACGGGAGGAGGACCGGAGGAGCAAAATCAGGCAAGCGCAAGCAAGCAAGTGGAAGCAAGCAAGCGCAAGCGAGCAGTAACAAGCAAGCAAGAGCCAGCGATCAAGTGCAAACAAGCAAGAACAAGCAAGCGAGAGCAAGCACGCAAGAGCAAGCAAGCAAGAGCAAGCACGCTGGGGGGTGCCATTGGAAATAAGGGGGGGCATTGGAAAAAGGGGGGGGGATGGAGGGGCCATTGGAAATAAGGGTGGGGGGCATTGGAAAAGGGGGGGTCCCAAAGACCAATTACTTAGAATGAGCTAGGACTCCTATAGTGCAAGCCTATTTGGAAGATACTTGGCATAAGATTGACCGCTTGACCGTTCGATCTAAGCATCAAAAACGATTCATGCACTATTTGTTGTGGGGGTGATCTCGGATGGGAACGCGATATGTATCAGTGTTGCTCGATTTCGTAGACGATCACTTGCTGTACGCATTGCCAAGGATCTACCTCAGGAGACATCCTGTGGCACCGGCGAGCTTCGAGGACTCAAGGGCTCATGCAGCAGTGCTTCTTTCCTGTAGGACTTGCTGCGGTTCATGGTGGCATTCATTGCCTGGGCCCGCTGATGCCTGCCGCCTCCATTGTATCCTACAGCAAACCGTCGTATCACATTCAATCGCACGTTGACCGAGCCTCAGAACTTACGAATTGTGCTACGAATGATACGGATGGAGGCATGTTCGAAGCAGCCGAGCTGAACTGCCTTGACGCACGATACCCGTGCCACCAAGATGGAGATACTACTGATGCCTCGTTGACTGGCGTTCGTCTACTTCACGCGACTGCCAGTCACGCAGTGGTGAGGTTCAGTGGTCGCGCGCTCCTCTTTTCCTCTCTCCAGAAGAGAAAATGAGACCAGAGAAAAACCCCAATCATAATATTTGTAGGGCTATTGGGCTACGGGGCTATAGGGCTCTATGGCTATAAGGCTATAAGGCTATAGGGCCAGAGGGCTATAGGGCTATGGGGCTATAGGGCTATAGGGCTATAGGTCTATAGTGCTATAGGGCTGTAGGGGTATAGGGCTATAAGTTTTAAGGCTATAGGGGTATAGGGCTATTAGGACTATAGGGCTATAGGGCTCTTGGGCTATAGGGCTATAGGGCTATTAGGGCTATTAGGGCTATAGGGCTATAGGGCTAAAGGGCTATAGGCAGCCACCCGGGCACCCAGACACCCGGGCGTGCCGCCGAAATCGGCGCCGTACCGCACCTAACCATATGAATCCGCCAGGAACCCTACAGAGGCAAGCTCCGATTGGGGAAAAATGATCCCCTGGCGGCGCCTCCAGCGCGGCCCTTGGCGCGCTCGTCCAGCACGGATCCAAGAAATCCACGCGGAGCACCACACGTGTATGTTCATGCTGTTTTTTCTTCTTCTAGGAGCGTTGCCGCTGTCCCACGCCCATGCCTCGAGCGCGTCAGCACAGGCAGCCCGACCTGCCCTCGCCAGGCTGGACGTCCGCCCGCAACCTTCCGCTGCGGTTACCCATCCAGCGTCGCTGGGCGAGGCAGGAGGCCGAGCGCCTCGGGCAGCAGCCCCGAGCGGCGGCTGGAGCTGCCGAGAGGGCCTTTTGGCCGCCGGAGGGGGGTCTGCGGCGCGGCCTGGCGAGAAGCTGCGCATCAGGAGGCGGAGGAGGAGGAACAGGAACAGGAAGAGGAGGAGGAGGAGGAGGAGCAGCAGCAGGAACAGGAAGAGGAAGAGGAGGAGAGGGAGGAACAGGAACAGGAAGAGGAGGAGGAGGAGGAGGAGGAGGAGGACGGAGGTCTGCGCAGAGGCGCAGAAGACAGCGGTTGAGGGTGGCACGGCAGCAGAAGGGCCAACAAAGCAGAAGGGGGGAGGGCAGAAGCAGAGAAGGGCACGAAGGCATGGAGGGCCAGACAGGCCCAGGAGGCCAGAGGGGCGAGGCTTGAGGAGCGCAGGACTGCTGAGGAGGCCAGCACGGCAGAGGAGACAGGAGATCCAGAAGGCGGGGGAGAACAGAAAAGTTGAGGAGATCAGCAAACGGGAGGGGGACAAGAAAGTTGAGGGAGGGGCAAGCGGGCAGATGTGGTACCGATGGCCGAGGGAACAGGAAAAGCAGAAGAGGCCAACAGGGCAAAGCACACCACGAAGGCGGAGGACGGGTGCAGGAAAGCAGAGGGGCGGTGAAGATTACGAGGTCAACCGCGAAGGAGGACGGTTGGGCGGAGGGGGGCAGAAAGGCAAAGGCTAACATCAGTGCGAAGGCAGAGGAGTACAGGAGTGCCGAGGAGGCCAGAGCACCAGGGGAGACCGAGAAACCAGAGGGACCTGTGGCCAGGACGGGAAGGCAGATGGGGACCAGGAAGCAGGGGACGCCCCGCAGGCTAAGGAGGTTTGAAAGGCAGAGGCCGCGAGGCAAGTCGGGGCAAGCGGGGTCAGACACGCAGACGGGGCCCATGGATGGAGGTACGGCAGGGCGGAGCCCACCTGGGAGGTGGGGCCACTTGCCGAGAGCCCGAGTGCTAATGTTGCAGAGCCCGGGGCTCGCTGTGCGGCGGGCATGCCTGGCACTGGGGAGCTCAGGGTCCCAGGATCGCGGGCCTCTCAGTGCCTGTCCAGCAGGGATCTCAGCGCAGACTTGCTCGCGCGGCCAATCGGATATGATCGATGGCCCCAGGGATCTCCACATGTGTGCCGGAATGTGATCTGCACGGGGAAGTTGTGTCGACGAACCAAGATGGCAAAGTCTTGGGATCCATCATGCTCCCGCTAGGCGCCAGGCGGCTGATCCTGCTCTTCTGCGCTGAGCCAAGAGAATGGTGGCGACGGCGGCGCGCTGCCCATGTGGAACAGTGGACTGCACGGGGAGCAGTGGAGCAGCACTGATGCCCACGTGAGCGGGCCGTTTTGTAGCGCGGCCCACGCCATGTGCAGAGAGGCGACGGTCCGTGGTGCCAGTCCAGGCAATGTTGGAAGTGATCACGCGTTCTAATCTGCCGGCGCGAATGCTGCGCCGCCGCCACCGCCCCAGTGGCTCTCTTCACCGTGACCCATCAGGGCTTGGCAAGCAGAGGAGGATAGATTCCCCTCCCCGAGGTGCAGCTGTGAGAGAGAGAGAGAGGGAGTGAAGATATGCACCGAGCGCGTGAGAGCACACGAGCTCCCTCAGCAAGTACACGCTACGAATGCTATTGGCTGCTCTCCCCTGACTCCGTGTGGAACATGTTCGGCCTTCTCCGAGTTTTTTGACACACGGGGTTTCAAAAGTTGTTTCGATTATTTGTGCTTACACATCGATTGTTCTCGGTGTTTCAGACTGGTGTTCCGGCTGGAGCGCGGGCCTCATTTCGGTTCGGTGTTTGGCTCCCGTCGTTCAGACTGGTGCTCTCGCCCCAGCGCGGGCCACTTTTCTGGATCCGAGTCCTTTTTCCTCGTCGTTGCCCCCCCCATTTCCCCTCCACGGCCTTCCCCTGGTACTCCTGCTCCTCCCATTCCTTCCTCATCCTCCTCCTCCTCCTCCTCCTCCTCCTCCTCCTCCTCCTCCTCCTCCTCCAAGTGGCCGTGCCAGGCTTGACCCGCCCAGCGCCACTTCAGAAATTCAGAAATGCAAGTAGAAACGGGAGCATGACGCCATGGCGACTGATGTGGTCAACGGCGCTTCTAGGGCAGATAAGCATAGTCGTTTGCAACCCGAACAGCGACACCCGCGGGCGCGCCCAGGATACACTGGACGAGCTGCACAGCGTGACGGTGGTGAGCCAGATAGGCACCCAGGAAAAGGAAGACCAGCTGAGGTACTCAAACTGCTGCGAGGCGATCATCAGGTGGCTCACGAAGACGCATGCGGGCAAATGGATACTGATTCTGACAATGGATTTGAATTCTACTTTCACACAGAACATAGGTGGAATTATTGGGCCCGTTGGTGAAGAGGAACGTAAGTTAGCAGAGCTACTTGTCTTGCTGGCCCACGAGCTACGCACGGTGAACACGATGAGAGATGCACGCTACACCTTCGTGGCTTCGAGTGGTACGACGCGAACTCTGGATTATATAGCAGTGCCGACGGCTATTTCAGCAGTCAAATGGTGCACTTTCAAGAGAAGCATGCGGCGACTGTGGCCGCATAAATGGGAACGTGAGTGGGATCACTTTCTGCTTGGCATTGGTATTCAGTGGTCGAACGATCGTATACCAGAACCGCGCGCAGAGAAGCAAGTACGAATCGAACCGCCGACAGCGAGTGCACTACTACAGCGAGGATACAAGAGGGAGGAGTTCACGAAGGTAGCACACGATCACCTCTTGTCACGGGCAGCTTGGGCTAAGAGTCAGACGGACTACACGATGGCAGTGGCGGCGTTACTGGTGGAAGCGTTGAACGCAGGAGCGCTAGCAACTTGTACGATGAAGGAGGGTTACACCGAATATCACCCGGACGACGCAAAAGAGCTACGTGGTTTACTTCACGATCGACAAGCAGCGCGAGAACGTTTAACAGTAACATATGATTTGGAGGACGAGAATCTGCAGTTGGAACTTTCAGTTCGGATCACAGCAATCAGTAAATGGCTACGACTGCACAAGTGGAGATGGGTGGAAGAGGATAGAGTGCCCGAACAATCCAACGCAGTGGCGGCCGATGTGACGCAAGAGGACGTGGACGCTTTCAAACATGAGGTTTGGCGGTTAAGGTCATGGCAAGTGGTACCGCAGGAGAGTATCGGTGCGGAATTTCTTCGTGTGGCAATGTTTCCGAATTTGGTTGACAAGCGGAGGCAGCAACGCAAATACGAGACGGAGCAGGAGAAGATACCCGTCTTTATCATGTGGTGCCTGCTCCGCGGCATCAGAGAAAGTGGAAAGCTACCTTTTTTTTCTGGATCCTGTCAGATGCGTGTAAGATTGGCAAAGGCAATGAGAAGGAAGGCGTCGACGGCGAACGTGTGATCATGCTAGTGCGCACGCTGGCAAAGGCATACTATACGTCACTCCTGGCACGAGGCGAGCCTGAATCCTGCATTTATGGATGTCTCCCAGGCCAGCGGCAAGAAGCAGCAGTAATGGTACAGCACGCTTACTCTTGGAAAAATATTGTAGTCATGTCATGAGGCTCAACGACGCTAGAAACGCCTTCTACTGCATTGATCACGACACTTTGTGCGAGGAGGTCGACAGCATCTTTCGTATAGAAGATTGGCAGATCATGAAGTTTCGAGCTACATTGGTGTGTTTCACGATACCTGGCGACACAATGTAAGTACTCCAACGGGGGTGCCTTCCTGGCGATCCAGCAATGGTGAGGCAGATGGGAATGGGCTCTGTGAGCGCTTCGAACTACAAGCAGTGCAGTATTCAGTGTCCATAGTCACAGAAGTGCAGTTGGCGACAGCAGTGTCTCAGCAGGCATAAGCGATGTGCTCAGGCTCTGGCGGTTGTTTTCGGGCGCTCACGGGACGATGAACGAACCGAAATCGACAAGTACACGAGCGAGGACGAGAGAGCGAATACAAGGGGCGAGCAATTGTACGACATCAAAACGATCGAGCTTTTCGACGATGGTGCCAGGCTACTAGAGACATATGGATTCGAGGAGACCTTATTCGAGGGAAAGGAGGATTTCGTTCAACTGGACGTAGGAGGGATCAGGGCACACTATTTCATTATGCTTCGAGGTATCTGTCACACAGATCGGGGACGCACGGACGGCACGATCAAGTCTTACGACTGCGAATATGTTGGGCTCAATCGCGATGACCTCCGTAGGCATCTGCATCTCGAGCATCTGCAGGCGCACCCACACTCACATCAGTTGGAGTTTGAATTACCTTTCAAGATGCCGTGGATCGTGATGGTGAACAGGATGGCTGATTCGGCTCACAAACGGAACGCGGCGGAGGGCGGAGGGGCAAAGCGTGACGACAAGTCCAAGAAGGGCAAGGCAGAGAACGACGAGTCCCACGCCAACGCCAAATGGTTACGCCACCGCATCAGGACGTTGGAGTTCGAGGCAGTATTCTACGGCCCCAGCGACGACGAGAAGATCATGCTGCTGAATGCGCCCAATCAAGAGCACAAAAAAGGTGGAGAAAAAACACTCACGGGCCAGGACCACCAGAGTTGCAGAGTATTGCCGCACTTCTGAGCGCTGTCGAGAACTTGGGCCACGCTCGAGGACGTGGGGGCCGAGGTGCAGCAAAAGGACAAGGCCGCCGATACTCGCACCCCTTGTGTTGATCTAAGAAGGAGGTGGAGGCAGAAGTGACTGTAGAGCAGAATTTGTATCAGTTGTTTCGGGCGTCTGGTCTAACAATAAGCCAGGTCGGGCCCCGCGTGCAAAAAAAAACTTGATGTGGGAATGCCCGCCCCGCGTGGGGCACACCAGCGATGCGCTGGGTGCCGTTCCACCGCTCCCGAAGGCCCCTTGGCAGCAACGTGACTTGACTTTTTGCTGGGTCTCTCGGGAGCGTGAGCACCCCCAAAGTGAGAGCTCAGGCGAAAGAGCCGTGGCCCAGAGCATGCAGAGTGTTGTATCAGACATGTGGAGCTCGAATGGGTAAGACAGACAGACAGACTCCTCCTCCTCCTCCTCCTCCTCCTCCTCCTCCTCCTCCTCCTCCTCCTCCTCCTCCTCCTCCTCCTCCTCCTCCTCCTCCTCCTCCTCCCCTGCCTCCTATGTACGCAGATGCCCCTTGTCCGACTGCGCATAACAGGATGCGATTTCTTTGGAGTTACAGGTCGGCTATGACACGCGCCCGCGGATAGAGAAGACAGCTCAGCGCGGTGGCAAGGGATAGGAGGGAGGGATAGGATGTCAGCTATGGGGGCAGAGCACACCCAGCTTGTCGACCCCCCCTCCCCCTTCTTCCCGCGCGCTCTCCCCTCCCCCCGTTCCCGGAAAGGAGGGGGCGGGGATGGCTGGCCAGGCGTGGGCGCGCTCGCTGTGCCCCGCGACCCGCCGCCAGAGTGCCAGCGCGCCGGCCAGAGGCCCCCGATCTCGAGAGCGGTGCGGACCCGCGCGGGGCTGACGGACGCGGGCGCCCAGGTGCCCGTCCTCGGGGACCCGCTGTACTACGACCTGTCCGACAGGTTGAACCTCGAGACCGAGTACCGCGTGCGCTACCACAGCGAGGATATCAGTGGTCGCGCCTCTCCCCTCCGTTTTCCTCCTCCTCCTCCTCCTCCTCCTCCTCCTCCTCCTCCTCCTGCTGCCTCATCGTAGGCCGATGTTTGTCCTCGCTGTCAACTCTGTCTCGTTCTGGTCTCACTCTGCTGTCTCATCGCTTGTTGTTCGCCCAGTTGTCTGGTCCCCATCGTTCCTGCTCCTTTAAAAAGCACGAGGATATCGGCGCCCATACAAAGAGAGCACGCGGCGAGGGCTTGCGGCGGGGATTACTCGGAGGTCCTGGGGCCGCTGAGAAAATCATGCGCCACGACCCTGGAGCTCGCGGTGGGCTTCCCAGCGGCTGTGAACCCATGCCGCCGTGCCACATCCCCTGAAGCGTGCAGCCGCCGTAACGTCGGCGTACGAAGGAGAATGAGGAGCAGCAGCAGCAGCAGCAGCAGCAGCAGCAGCAGCACCCAGAGGAGCAGAGCCGGAGGGTGGAAGAGAAGAGAGATCGAAGGAGCCCCTGCCTGTTCTGGCCCTCCCCAGACCGCCGACATCGCGTTGCTTTTTGGTGGCGCGGGCCTCTGGAGCTCTGGGGCCCATCCTGGGGACCCGCGTGCTCCGTCGCAGGCCGCTCTTGGCTCTCCCACCCTCCCCCGCCGCTCGGCGCCGCCCCTCCTCCTCATCCTCCTCCTCCTTCTCCTCCTCCTCCTCCTCCTTCTCCTCCTCCTCCTCCTCCTACTACTACTACTACTACCACTACTACTACTACTACTACTACTACTACTACTACTACTACTACGACGACGACGACGACGACGACGACGACGACGACTACTACTAGTACTACTACTACTACTACTACTACTACTACTACTACTACTACTACTACTACTACTACTACTACTACTACTACTACTACTACTACTACTACTACTACTACTACTCACCAGCATCCTTCTCCTCCTCCTCCTCCTCCTCCTCCTCCTCCCTCCTCTCCTCCGCCTCCTACTCCTCCTCCTCCTCCTCCTCCTCCTTCTCCTCCACCTCCCCCTCCTCCTCCTCCTCCTCCTCCTCCTCTTCCTCCTCCTCCTCCTCCTCCTCCTCCTCCTCCTCCGAGAGAGAGAGAGAGAGAGTGAGAGAGAGAGAGGGAGGGAGGACGCGCGCCGGGAGCGCAAGCAGCTGCTCGGGGCGCAGCCCCCGCTGCAGCTGCACTGCCGGCAGATGATGATCAAGACGTTCGCGGGCAAGGACGGGTGGCGTAGAGGTCGCCCGGAAGAGCCCGGGGTCCCGAGGGAGGGGGGGGCCCCACTGGGATGACCGTGGGAGTTTCCAAATGGATAGGGGTGTTACCAGTGGGTGCTAAGGTGGGTTAGATATGGCCCAGCCTGGCTTATAAGTGGGTTACAAATTCCCCGAGTGGCTTAGGGGGTTTACATAACTCCGCTAAGCGGGCGTAGCCCACTTGGCCCAGATCGTAAACCCCCCTAAGCTACTTCGGGCATGTTGTAGCGCACGTATAAGCCAGATTGGGCCAGATATAACCCACCTTGGTATCCAGTTGTAACCCCCCTTATCCACTCAGAAACCCCCACGGTCACCCCAGCAGAGGTTTCTCACCGTTCTGCACCTCCCTGGGTCCCTTCCCGCGCGCCAGGGCCATGAAAAACAGACGGGCGTTCGCGGGCAAGGACCAGCGGCACAGAGGTCACCAGGAATCGACTAGACATAAGAGTGACTTTTCGCCGCAGTGGCCTTTGGTGCGGGCCAAGTGTGGGGTCCCCCGATCGCCGAGCGCGATGAGACAGTGACGTCTCGCGCGCTTGTGTTTAGCCCCCCCGCAGTCCCCAAAAAGCCGCGCATCAAAGGTCACTCTTGCTCAGGGTCACTCTTGCGTGTAGTCGACTGAAGAACACGGTCCTGAGGGAGAAAGGGCCCTGGAGGTTTCTCGCGGTTCTGTGCCTCTCTGGGTCCTTTCCCGTGCGCCAGGGCCGTCAAAAACAGACGACTTCCGGGAGGGGAAGTTCGTCCCAGGGAAATCTCTGGGGTCAAGGACCCGTTTCTCTCATGACCCTTTTCCCCCGTGCCAGCGCAGAAGGGATCATGGCCCCTTTTCCCTCGCGCCGCTGCGGAAGGCCTCTTGGACACCCCTGGGAGCTTCTCGGAGCCAGGGCACCTTCTAAAAGAAGAAAAAAGCCCTGTTCGCCCCGCCCCCCCGGTGCCCCCACCGCAGAGAGGACGTGCTGATCACGGCGCCCCTGCCCCCAGAGATGGAGCGCACCTTCGCAGCGCTCGGGTGGTCCGACTTCGCGCGGCGTGCGGACCGCAAGGCCAAAACGCTGGGGCGGCGGGGTCTTCTTGAGGGCTGGGCTGGGCCGGGGCAGGGCAGGGGGGCCTGCTCGGGGCCGGTGCCGGGTCTCCCTCCCCTCCCCGCTTCCCCTCCGTTGTCCCTCCGCCGCCTCCTCCTTGTACGCTCTCCGCTCCCCTTTGCATACCAGCCTCCTCCTCCTCCTCCTCCTCCTACTCCTCCTCCTCCTCCTCCTCCTCCTCCTCCTCCTCCTCCTCCTCCTCCTCCTTCTCCTCCTCCTCCTCCCTCCTCCTCCTCCTCCTCCTCCTCATCCTCCTCCTCCTCCTCCTCCTCCTCCTCCTCCTCCTCCTCCTCCTCCCCATCATCGTCATCAAAATTCAAATAAGCATGATAATCATCATAGTCATACTCGGTGTAAACGCCTCCATAATCGACAATAACCTCAACCTAAACAACGTCATACTCATTGTCGTCTTCATAATCGTCGTCATCATCGTGACCATTAGCACCACCACAGTCGTCATCATCAGAATCACCATCATCAGCGTGACCATCATCGTAATCATCGTATTCGTTATCACCGTAATCTTCATCGTTACCGTTACTACGACTTACCATCATCATCCGAATGCTCCTCCTGGAGATGGGGTGAGCAGGAGGAGGCTTGAGGAAGAGGGTGATATTTCGACTTCGCTTGTCCACTTCGGGCATCCAGGAGCCCCCCCTATGGGGACCGCAGATCATGTTAGCAATCCGAGCGGGTCATCGGAACCTTGTACATGTCGTGACTTTGGGATTCCTGGCCCTTGGATATTGCGGAAGTCTCGAGCGGGAACCTCGTTTGTGAGTGAGTTGTGAGGAAATCTCTTGCGGGAGCCCCCTCCTCATAGGGCCCGCAGTTCATGTTATCAATCCGAACGGGTCATCGGAACCTAAAAAATGTCGTCATTTCTGGTTTTTCCAAGCTTGAGAATTGAGTCTTTGGCGGCAGCGTCGTCTGTGATTGAATGGAGAGGAAGTCTCAGGCGGGTGCACCCTCCCTGTGGGGCCAACAGCTCATGTTACCAATCCGAGCGGGCCATCGGAACCTTGTAACTGTCCTCACGTCTGGCTTCTTGAAGCTCGATTATGGCGGAAGTCTCGATCGGAAGCCCCGTCCGTCAGTGAATGTTGAGGAAGTGCATGCGGAACATGCTGATCCTGCGGCCGCCCGCGCGACAGTTCCTGGAGCGCGGGTCGCCGGTTTCCCTGAGGAAGGCGCTCAGGAAGATCGACAAGTTTGTTGGGAATTCCAGGGCTGAGGCGGAGCAGCTCGCGACAGAGCTGGGCTTCGCGCTGCTTCCCGCTTGAGCGCGGCCGCGAGTAGCTCGAGACCTGCGGGATTGTCCCAGCGGCTTGCTCCCGCGCCACAGCGGTTCGCGGTGTTGTCCCAACGGCCTGGCCGACAGGGTTGCCCCAGCGGTCTCGCGATCTGGCCATCGGAGAGCGCGCTCGTGCTGGCCGTGGCGGCAACGGCGCAAAGGGACATCGACCTACGTGCCCTTGGCAAAAAGGTGGGGGAGGAAGTGGCTGGAGAAGAAGAAGAAGAAGAAGCAGGACGACGAGAAGGAGGCAGGGCAGGTGGCGGGAAGAGGGAATCCGTCAAGGCGACAAGGAGAAGGGCGATGAGGAGACGGGAAAGAGACTCTGCACTCCCATATTAGTCTACTTCCGCATAAGTTTTGGGGATCCCCATGCGGTGTCAGATCGTCTGATTTTTTTCTTGTGGAGCCGGAAATAGAAAGAGCCCGGTAACACGAACAGAGATCGACAATTCCCAAAATCGAAGTATGATTAGAGACGTCTTCACATAAAAAGACTACATGTGTCAATTTGTGATAGAGTACACCGGCGGATGGTGGCCGATGTTCGAAAGATGGTTCCCGCTTGGCTCTTAGCTCTTTGATCATAAGTGTAAAGTTACAAATCAGTTACACAGATCGCAGGTCTTCCTTGTTCAATCCAGGTTTCTCGCAGGACGCCTCCTCGAAAATGGTGGCCCTACCTCTTTACATTCGTGCTAGCTCGAAGGACGCATGGCAATCCCCTTCCAAAACGAGGCTACCGCCACAAGGGAAACCTCACGGGGCGCTCGTCTTTCGAGGGGCCGCTGCCTGTGGTGAGTATCTTGGAGTGGGCTTGGGACTGGACGGTGCGTGGCAGCATCGTTGGCGCATCAGTGATTCACGTCGGCCCTCATCTTCTTCCTCCTCCCCCATCCAGCGCCCTGGCGCCGCGCTCCCAAAAAACAAGTTTTCGGCGACGGCTCGGGTTTCGGAAGGGCCGTCTCGGGCAGTTGCGGCGCCCCCCCCCGGAAGTGCCCTGGCGACCGAGGGCCGATGGAGCGACTCCGACGGCTTGGCCCCCCTCACAAAGATCTGCTCTCCAGAAGCCCTGAAGCCATACGCGCTACAAAAAGTTCTGGGCTCTACGCTTCTGTAGCCCCTGAGCTGCAAAAGCTTCCGAGCTTCTACAGAAGCACTCGAATTCTCTGCCGGCCTGCCCCCCATGCAAGGCCAAAGAGTTCAACCCGTGGCGGCCCGAGGAGGACCAGCACCTGGCGCTGCTTCTCGCTGAGGCGGACCAGGCCGCTGCGATCGAAGAGGAGCGCGCCGAGGCCGAGGCCGAGCCGAGCAGGGCGCGGGACCCCGGCTGGCTGAGTAATGCGATTAGTACCAATATCCAAACGGTTTTGGAACCTCCAGGATGGACGCGAATAGGGCATGTGTTGAGCAGGAGTCAAGGGGTCAAAAGGAGGGTATGCTTTGTGCGCATCGAGGGGTACAGGGGGGTCCTAAATACCCTCCCCCCGAAGTCCCCGGCACTCTCTGACCTCTCCTTCCGTGCGCGCAGACAAACACTTAAGACAAAGAAGACGGCGACGACGCGGACGACAACAATGACGACGACGACGACCATGACGACGACGACGACGACGACGACGACGACGACGACGACGACGACGAGGACGACGACGACGACGACGACGCTGTCGACGGCGACGTCGACCACGACGACGACGACGATGACGACGACGACGACCTTGACGACGACGATGACGACGTAGAACACGACGGACGCGACAACGACGACGACGACGACGACGACGTTGACTACGTCGACGACGAAAACGACGACGACTACGACGACGACGCTGATGACGTTGACGCTGGTACGGACAACGACGATGTTGACGACCACGACGACGAGGACGAACTGTGCCCGATCAACGAACACTCAGTGTCCCGCTGACGGCGACAACGACGAAGAAGACGACGACGCCAGCGCTGATGACGTCGACGCTGCTACGGACGACGACGATTCTGAAGACCACGACAACGAGGACAACCGTGCCCGATCAACGAGTAATTTTTTAATTCAGTGTCCCGCTGACGGCGACCCACGAAGACGACGATGACGACGATTGTTCCGACGATCGACAGTACGACACGGACAACGACGACGACGACGATGACGACAACGACGACGAAGACGACGACGACGACGACGACGACGACGACGACGACGACGACGACGACGACGACGACGACGGCGGCAGCGGCGGCGGCGACGACGACGCAGAAGACGACGACGACGACACTGATAACGTTGACGCTGCTACGGACGACGACGATGCTGAAGACCACGACGACGAGGACGAATTGTGCCCGATCAACGAGTAGTATGTACACAGTATCCCGCTGACGGCGACCCGCGAAGACGACGATAACGACGATTGTCCCGACTATCGACAGTACGACACGGACGACGACGACGACGACGACGACGACAATGACCACGACAACGACCACGACCACGACCACGACCACGACGACGACGACGACGATGACGATAGTGATGACGATGACGATGACGGCGACGAGGACGCCGACGACGACGACGGCGACGACGTCGACGACCACGCCGACGACGACGACGACGACGACGACGACGACCACGATAGCGACTGCGACGGCGACGGCGACGGCGTTTGCGGCTGCGGCCACGGATACAACAACGACGACGAGGAGGACGAATGGTGCCCGATCAGCGAATTCTCACACGTAATGTCCCGCCCACCCGCCCGCTTTTATGTCCCGACCGACCGACTCGCCTGTTTCGAGCCCCGCCCGCCCAACCCGCCCGTTAGGGTCCCGCCCGCTTCACCCTCCTCATGGGGTCCCGCCCGCTTGAACAGTTGAAAGCCCGCCCGCCCGCTTCAAGGTCTCGCCCGTCCAACCCGCTTGTTAGGGTCCCGGACCCCCCCTTAGGGTCCCGCGCGCTCGAATGGTGGAAAGTTTGCCCGCCCGCTTCAATGTCCCGCTCGCCACCCGCCTGATCAGGCCCCGCCCGCCCGACTCTTCCATTAGGGTGCCGGTCACCCGACCCGCCCGTCAGGGTCCCGCCCGTTCGGCTGTTTGAAAGCCCGCCCGCCCGCTTCAATTTCCCGTCCGATCCGTCAGTTAGGGTCCCGTCCGCTCGAATTGTTGAAATCCCGCCCGCCTGCTGTAAATGTCCCGTCCGCCCGATCCCACTGGCAGGGTCCCGCCCTCCGTCGTCGTCGTCGTCCTCCTCCTCCTCCTCCTCTGCGTCGTCGTCGTGTTCGTATTCGTCGTCATCGTGTTCTTCGTCGTTGTTGTCGTCGTCGACCTCCTCGTCGTTGTTTTCGTCATTGTTTTTCTCGTCGTCGTTGTCGTCCGTCGTATTCGTGATCGTGATCGTCGTCATCGTGCTCATCTTCGTCGTTCGAAAGAGTTTTTGCTACCCTCTGGTCCATAACGCTCGTTAGGCACCCCCCATGACGTAAAGCTTCCTCCCCCCCTCCAGTGCGTCCCCGGCACGGCTGGAGTGCGTCCGGCACCACAGTCTGTGGTGCCAGACCCACACGGCGGGGAGGGCGCCGTGCTATGCCCCCCCCTCCACCATAGCCCCCGCTGCCGGCGTTTTCGAGAAGGAAAAAAAAACAAAAAACAAAAAACAAAAAAAAAAAAAAAAAAAAAAAAAAAAAAAAAAAAAAAAAAAAAAAAAAAAAAAAAAACGCCCTGGTACAACGACCAGAAAAGGTGGCGCAAGAGCGCCCCCCGCCACGACCCCCGATTTCAGTGTTCATCTAAGGGAGCAGGCCGCGGTGTGCAAATGTGAGTGTGTGTGTGTGTGTTTTTCGAAACGACTCGCACCTCCCCCGCGCCGACCACCCCGAACTCTGAGCTTGGGGCAGGCAGGATGGGCCCGCTTCGACACGCATTAGAGGTGGGCGTGTTTGTTCTTTTCGAAACAAAAAAACTGCTCTCTTCTCGTCATCGTCGTCGTGTGGGTCGTCGCTTGCCAGCGCGCGGGGAGGGGGGGGGCGCGCCCCCGCCCCCAGGGGCGATGGGGGGGGGCGAGGAGCAGCGTGATGACCCCCGCCCACCCACCCGACTTCCGAAAAGGAGGGGGGGGGGGCGGGAGGGGGGCGGGGTTCGGGAGGGGGCGGGAGTCTCCCGAAGGGGGGGGGGGTCCCCGTCGCTGAGGAGGGGGCAGGGAAGAGTCCTGTTTTGGGAGGGGAGGGTTCCTGGCTCCTGGAGAAGGGGAGGGTTGGAGGATGCTGCGACGCAGGGCGCCCGTGAAAGGCGCCCTCCCGTAGGTCCAGAGGAGGAGTCGGATGAGAACTTGGCCCCCTGCTCATCCCGACCTCCTCCTCCTCCTCCTCCTCCTCCTCCTCCTCCTCCTCCTCCTCCTCCTCCTCCCTCCTCCTCCTCCTCCTCCTCCTCCCCCTCCCCCCCTCCTCCTCCTCCTCCTCCTCCTCCTCCTCCACCTCCCCCTCCCCCTCCCCCTCCCCCTCCCCCTCCCCCGTCGCGACGACCAGCATCACTTCCCAGCCGCCCCCCCCGCCCCCACCCCCACCCTCCGCTCGGACGGCCCCCCAGGAGGCCCCAGGAGGCCCCAGGAGGCCACAGGAGGCTCCAGGATGCCCCGTGAATTCCCAGGAGGTCCCAGGAGGCTCCAGGAGGCCCCGTGAATTCCCAGGAGGCTCCAGGAAGTACCAGGACGCCCCAGGACGCCCCAGGAGGCTCCAGGAGGCCCCAGGAGGCCCCAGGAGGCCCGAGAAGGAGGTCCCTTGGAGGCTCCAGGGGGCCCCAGAAGGCCTCAGTATGCCCCAGGAGGCTCCAGGAGGTCCCAGGAAGCCCTAGGAACCCCTCAAACGGTCAGGAACGCCCTCCACAGAAAGGCTCCCAAGACACCCCATGCCCCCCAAGACACCCATCATACGGCCCAAGAAGCACAACAAAAAACGCAGGAGCCTTCTGCAGCTCCCGAGCAATCACATCTCTCCGTTTACTCATATTCATTATTATATTCCTCTTCCCCTGCCTCCTCCACGTCCTCCTCCTCCTCCTCCTCCTTTTCCTCCTCCTCCTCCTCCTCCTCGTCCTCCTCCTCCTGCCCATCCTCCTCTACCCCATCCCCCTCCTCCTCCTCCTCCACCTCCACCATCCTCCCCCTCGTCCTCATCGAAGTCGGCCCGCCCGCCCAGCGCGCGAGGCTGGTGCGACGCGGCAGCGGGGCGGCGCGGGCGGCAACGCGGTGAATCCCCGGCACGCCCACCCAGTTCCAGAGAAAGCCAAGTAATAATACAGAAGTGCAATCATTGATTGGTTGATATCGGTAAGCACGCGGCAACGAGGCGAAGCTGGCGGCAACGTGGCAAATCTTCGGCACGCCAATACAATTCCTTATTGGGCCAAGTAGGACCACCTGAACGCATTCCTTGCCAAATAACACGCAGGCATACGATACTGTCGATGGTAATATATGCGTATTCTTACATGTAGGAATCTGTACAAACCCAACATACTTATATATACCCTGGGCCCTGGGCCTGGGCACCCACCATACTTATATATCCCACGCAACTTGGGCTTGCCCCGATCTTTCATCAGAAGCGCATTCGGGCTTGCACGTCGGAAGATCCCCACATCCAGAGTTGACATCACACTGCAACAGTTTTGCAACGACTTCTTACCGATCACAGCTCAGCGTGCTGGTTGTGACACATGGTGGGACGATCTCAAGTGGAACACCCTCCCCTTTGAGTTATCGGCCATGGACGTGTGTCTCCAACCTGTGATCCGTACTAAAGATGTTCGCGCCGTGGCTTTGGGTGCTGGAATTGCCAGGCGCGTGCTGAACGAATCCACGCACTTCGAGCTCACTTTACAGATATATGCGGATCTGCGCTTTAATGACACGCGCGCATCTCAACTTGAATCGATCCCACGGATATTAAGCAACATGGTCAGTGAGGGCGTTCAAGAAGAACGGCTCCAGAAAGCTATGGAGCAGGCTTCCTACACGCTCGGTAAGAACCCAAGGACTGGTTACCTGTGCCCGCCAGTCAAAGTGTCGAAAACGAACGTCAAGAACACGGTGGCTGCCCGCCTGGGCGTGTACGCAGGGGACATAGTGCGGGGCTTGGAACGTCATTCTGTATCGTCCTTTTACGACGTCGTATTGAATTTTGATCCACTGACTTCCGTCGCAGCCGCGGGACTCAGGCGTTCCTTCATATGCCAAGTTTTTGATGGTTTACCATCTGGTTTCGCATGGGTTCCTTGATGTCCATGCGTTGCCAGGCGAGGTGGCCCCAGCGTGGCTCGGACGCGCGCGCGGGGAGTTTCTGCCGCGATGCGACTAGAAAGCTTGCAAGGCGTTGTGCGTGCGAGGTGGGCCCAGCGGGGCTCGGACGCGCGCGCGGGGAGTTTCTGCCGCGATGCGACTAAAAAGCTTGCAAGGTGTTGTGCGTATTTAGATATTCCCACTGTGTTTCTAGTACAGTATATATCATATCTAGCATATAGTATATGTATATATATATATATATATAATATATATAATATATATATATATATAATATATATATATATATATATAATATATATATATATTCATATATACATATATAATTATACATAAATACTGAACGATAATTAACACTATATATAATACAATATATATGTGTGAATAAATGAACGCAGACAGCCCTACTTGTATTTCTGCTTAAGTGCCTTGACCATCTGGGCCCGCGCCTTGCGGATTCCGTCGACGTGGGTGCGGTAGAAGTGTGAGTCTGGAAGGGTCTTCTTTCCCCGGCGCTTGCGCCTCTTAGTGAGCAGCCGACGGTGTTCGCATATGCCGTATTCCACGAGCTTGTAGATTATTGTAGATTTTTGTGATAAGCTCACATGTGCTATGCACGCGGCGACGTCCATGCGGCAGCGCGGCTGGACGACGCCATCACATCTCACTGTTAACACCGCCTTCTCACTACAAGGGATCTGGAACACCAGGGATCAGGTAACACAGAAACAAACAATTATTCGTTGTTCTTAAATCTGCTATTTTGCCTGGTCCCTGGGCCCTGGGAGAGACGTCCGGGCCCAGGATATGGAAAACCAGGGATCAGGCAAACAGCAAACTTCTTAGAAATTTGAAACATGTTTATAAATCTGCTATTTTGCCTGGGCCCTGGGTCCTCGGATCGCAACTTGGGCCCAGGATCTGGGAAATCAGGGATCAGGCAAAATAGCAAAATTTTGAAAAATTTTTTAAATTTTTAAAAATCTTGCTATTTTGCCTGGGCCCATGGGCCCTCGGATCGCAACTTGGGCCCAGGATCTGGGAAATCAGGGATCAGGCAAAATAGCATTTTATTTTATATATATAATAATATATATATATATATATATATATATATATATATATATATATATATATATATATATATATATATATTATATATATATATAAATATATATAAAAAAAAAAAAAAAAAAAAAAAAAAAAAAAAAAAAAATGCTATTTTGCCTGGGCCCTGGGCCAGCGGATCGCAACTTGGGCCTAGGATCTGGGAAATCAGGGATCAGGCAAAATAGCAAAAAAAACATTTTTAATATATAAAAATTTTTTTTTTTTTTTTAAAAAAAAAAAAAAAAAAAAAAAAAAAAAAAAAAAAAAAAAAAAAAAAAAAAAAAAAAAAAAAAAAAAAAAAAAAAAAAAAAAAAAATCTTGCTATTTTGCCTGGGCCCTGGGCCAGCGGATCGCAACTTGGGCCTAGGATCTGGGAAATCAGGGATCAGGCAAAATAGCAACATTTTTAAAATTTCCAAAAAAATTTTGAGAAAAAAAAAAAAAAAAATGCTATTTTGCCTGGGCCCTGGGCCCTCGGATCGCAACTTGGGCCCAGGATCTGGGAAATCAGGGATCAGGCAAAATAGCAAGATTTTTAAAATTTCAAAAAGTTTAAAAATTCTGCCTCCCCCCTCTTTTTTTTGAAAATAAAAAATTTATAAAAAAAAAAAAAAAAAAAAAAAAAAAAAAAAAAAAAAAAAAAAAAAAACTTCTCAGAATGGTTGCTATTTCTGTTCATCCTGGGAGTCTACAATCCAATACGTTGAACGTCATTCGGGGGCGTCGCAAAGCCGAAGCATAAGCAGCAGGAAAACAGAAGCTGGGGACTCGCCGCTTGGGGGTGCATCCGAAGGGGGCGGGGGGGGTGGCTGGGAAGTGATGCTGGTCGGCCGTACCCCCCTCCCCCTCCTCCTCCTCCTCCTCCTCCTCCTCCTCCTCCTCCTCCTCCTCCTCCTCCTCCTCCTCCTCCTCCCCCTCTCCAAGGCGCTTCGCCAAGAGCCCTCTGACGGCGTCGTCATCGCTTTGCCTGCTTCAGGGGCCTTTCATGCCCACCGACGCTGGCTTTCAAAGCACAGTCGCGTTGCCTCGCATGCCCACCACCTTGCCTGCAGACGCAGAGCGGCGAGGCACATGAGATGGTCCTTTGTGGAACTGCACGGTCTCGTGGGATGTTCTCGGAGGAAGGCGACCACGGAATCCCAAAGGTGACTCAGCAGGAGGTCTTTGTTGGATGAATGGGTCCGCGGGGGTTCTGGGGACCCTGAGGGAGGTTTTAGTTAGCACAATCTGGGGTGATGGGGGTCCATTCGTTGGTCGACTTGAGCGGTCGTGGGGCGCATGTTGGCGGTCTCGTGGCCCTGCGGGAGGGCCTCTCGGGGCGTTTGCGCTGGCCTGCAGGCCCTTGTGGGGCCATCTTGGGAGCGTCGAAGGCCTCCTACGAAGAACTCTCGAGCCGAGGGTGGAGACAACAAAAAAACAGCCTGATGTCAGTCACTGTAGTCGGCCTCCGAGGTCCGGGCGTGCGCGGCCTTGTAGGGCCTGCGAAGGGGGGGAGTCTGGAAAGGCCCCCAGGGGCGAATCCGGGGGCCATGATGTCTACGGAGTCAGCCTCCGCGGCCGCCTTGTCCGTCTTTTCCCCCCTACTGCATGCTGGGCAATCCGCTTTTCGGTGCCCCCGTTCAGCTCCATCGCTGGTGTGCCTCGCCGCCGACGAAAAAAGTCTACGGAGTCAGGCCGACGGTGGAAGAAGGGTCAGAGAGGCCCTGGGGCCAGGGAAGGTGCCAGGGATCCACGGATCCCCATTCCGCAAGCCCGATGAAACGAGCAGCAGGAACGAAACAATATAGGTCGCCGTCATATGTTTACTGGAACTGTCTCCGATGACGTCGCCCGAAAAGGGGTTGTTGCACAGAGGGGAAGCACGAGGGGTTTGGGCCACGCTTGCTGTTGTAGGCGTGTCAGCAGGTTCCGCTGGCACAAAAAAAAAATTAAGACTTCGCGGTTTGGGTGAGGTGGAACGGAGGATCTTTAATTGCCTCCCCCGTGGAGCCACATCCGAGGGAGACGCATCATTAGGAGCACAAGCGCCAGCCGCTTCGTGTAAGCAGTCCCAGGTAAGCGTGATCGCGAACAGCTCACAGGGGACGGAGAGGGTGCCCTCGGCTCCCTTCCACCGTGGGTCCCCCCCCTCTGGCCTTGGATTCGCATCTGGGCCACCCTCCCTGGCACGAGACAACTAGGGGTCCCAAGGGAAACGGGTCCTGGACCCCAGGCCGCTCCCCGGGACCCGAACTTTTCCTTGGAGGAGGAGGAGGAGGAGGAGGAGGAGGAGGAGGAGAGCCCCCAGGGGGCGACCTCGATGCGTGGGCGGCGCATCGGGGCCCCTGGGGGAATTGAAATCCGCCAAGACGTCGCTTGCGGCGCCGCGGCCCAGGGGCGTTGGTGCCCTGGCGGGCCTAGGGCGGCCCCCCGACTCTACCAGGTGGTTCCTGTGCGGAGTCGGTCTGCCGTCTCAGGTCCCCCGGGGACCCGGCGTTCTGGGGCCGCGTGGGTAACCCTCGAGAGCTGGCGCGGACTGGTTTTCCAGTCTGCGTCGGCCTGCGCGGTACCAGCCTGTGCGGGGGCTGGCTGTGGCCATTGTTGGGGCCCGCCCCTGACGTCGGGGTGTCGGGCGTGGCCAGACTGGTCGACTCTCGTGGAGAGTACGGTTCAAGACGTGTACCGCCTGGCCCCCCACTGGGCAGAGGGGGCTCGCGGGAGCGCCGCCTGCCCCGCACGGTGACGCGGGGCAACCTGTGCCCCTTGGCGCGGGGAGAACCAGGGAGGCATAGGGGCCGCCCGCCATCGGCGGGCTGATGGTGCCCCTGGAGCTCCACGCGGTGAGCCTGTCGCCTTTTTTGTTTCTTCCCTCTTCTTCATATTGTTCTCTCTCTCTCTCTCTTTCTCTTTCTCTTTTTTTGTTCTCTCTCTCTCTCTCTCTGTCTCTCTGTCTCTCTCTCTCTCTCTCTCTCTCTCTCTCAGGCCCCGCCTGGAGTTTGCGGCCCCTGGCTTTCCACGGGGGCGCAGGGCGGCGGGTTTGCCCTGCCCCGCGATGGCAAGGCCCAGCGCGTTCCTGCGCAGGTTCGCGTCGATCCTGCGGTGCCCCGCGGTCCGTCGTCCGCGGGGCGTGGCTAATGGCGGTTGCAAGGTGCGCCCCTTGCCACGTCGTTTCTCGAAGGCTGCGGTGCCATAGACTCCGTAGCGCTCCAGGAGGAGGAGGAGGAGGAGGAGGAGGAGGAGGAGGAGGCCAAGCGCGGCGAGAAGCGCAGTGCCGCTCTCCCTTCGGGGCCCCCCCGTTGTCCTCCTGGCGGCCTCTGTTCCTGCGGCGGGCCCGAGGACCTCCAGCCTGCGGCGGCCGCGCCGCCAGCGGAGGCGGCGGCGGTGGCGGGCGGGGGCGGCGGCGGCAGGCGCAGCCGCCGCACCTCGCGCGGCCCAGAGCCGGTCGGTGCGAGCCGCAGCCAAAAAAGAACGACGACGACGACGACGACGACGACGACGACGACGACGACGGCGGCGACGACGACGACGACGGCTACGACGACGTCGACGACGACGACGACGACGACGACGACGACGACGACGACGACGACGATGACGTCGGCTACGACGGCGACGACGATGACGTCGGCTACAGCGGCGGCGGCGGCGGGAGCGGCGGCGGCTGCGTCGTCATCTGCGTCGTCGCCGCCTTTGGTGTTACCGTCGTCACCGCTGCTGGTTTTGAAAGGCACGGGACCTCGTAGCCTGGACCCCCCAGCAACCTGCAGCCACCCACACGGGACCCGAAAGCCCCCTTGTGATGTTGCCGGGGTTGTTGGGCCCCCTTGTGGGAGCGGGTTCCTGAGGATTTGCTTGGGCGTTTTTTTATTATTTTGGGTTCCCCTGGATCCTTCGCAATGCCCTGGGGTTTGTCAGGATTCCTCAGGATCCTCCGGGACCCCTCAGGATTCTTCAGGGTACCTCAGGTCAGGATTCAAACGGATCCCTGAAGAATTCGCAGGGCCCTTCAAAGTTCATCCAGATTTCGAGGTATCTTGCAAGAGACCCGAGGATTCTTCAGGATGCTTCAGGGTTCTTCCGGATTTTACAAGGTTGCTCCGGGTTCGGAGGGTTCCTCAGGCTTCGTCAGGATTTCTCGGGGGCTTGCTGCAGGTTTCCTCCGAGATCCTCAGGACTCGTCAGGATCCCTCTGGATTCCTGAGGTTTGGGGGGATTTCTCTGACTCATCACTAGGGTTTCCTCCGGATTGCGCCGGATTCTTCAGGATCCTTTAGGAATTCCAGATTCTTCCAAATTTGACGGATTCCGCTGGATTTCTCCAGATTCCTTAGGGCTCCTCCGCATTCTGAGAATTATTTTGTGCTCCTCAAATTTTTCCAGGGTCCCCCAGGATTGTTTAGGGTTCATGGGGGTTCCTCAGGTTTCCTTTGGATTCTTCGGGAGTCACAGGGATCCCGAAGGAGTTGATCCGATTCCCCACGATTCTTTTCAATATCCCACAGGATTCGCAAAGAGTCTTCAGGATTCATCAGGATTGCTCTGGGTTCCTCAAGACTCCTCGGGAGTCCTCAGGACCCCTCAGGGTTATTCAACATTCTTCGGGGTTCCTCAGGCTGATCTGTAAGGACTCCGAAGGATTCTCCACGATTGCTCCGGCTTCCTCAGGGTTCATCAAGATCTTTCAGGGTCTTTCAGGACTTCAGGATTCCTCCGGAGTCTCCAGGATTCCTCTGGACCCCCTTGGGTTCCTCAGCATTTCGCAGGACCCTTGGTTTCCTCAGGATCTCGCAAGTTTGTTTTGCAAATGTGTGTGGGTTCCTCGGGACTCTTCGGCTTTATCAAGTTTCCTCAGGGGTCTTCAGGGTGCCTTTGGATTCCTCAGGGTCACCCAGGTTGTTCAAGGATCATCCGTACTCTGAGAGGGTATTATGGATTCCTTCGGGATCGGCAGGTTTCCTCAGGACTCTTCGGTACTTCCCAGCGTTTCTACGGATTCCTCCTGCTTTCTAAGGTTTCGTTTGGTTTTCAGGCTTCCTCGAGATCCAAATGTTTGTCGAGGATCCCTCGGAGTTCTTAGCGATAATTTAGGATCCTTTCCTCAGGATGGCTCAGATGTCGTAAGGATTTCTCAGGGTTCATCATTCCTCAGAATCCCTCAGGGTCCCTCCAGGTTCCATCTTCGCACACTGTCCAGGCATGTGTTGATAGCGCGATTGTGACAAGTGCTACATCCCTTCCTGAGGCGATTGCGATATCCAGCCGCATCGCCCTACGATGAGTCCAGATTGGATTGGATCGAGCGCAGGGTTACAGGGATTGCCATGCATTGGATTGGATCGAGCCAGGAGCCCCTTAGCCAGCAGATGAACGCGTACAGGACTCCACTTGCTTTTGCGCGTCTCCGCTGGCCATGTATATATAACATACGTATGGCAAAATATACCCACGTCGATATATACATATAGACACACCGGTATAGATTCATATATAAATATATATACACACACATGCATACGTACATGCATGCATGCATGCATACATACATGCAGACATGCATGCATGCATGCATGCACACATACATACACACGTGTGTGTATATATATATATATGTATACATACATACATACACATATACACTCATGCATGCATACATACATACATACATACATACATACACACACACATACATACATACATACATGCATGCATACATACATACATACATACATACATACATACATGCATACATACATACATACATACATGCATGCATGCATGCATATATACATACACACATGCATACAGCCGTTCACGTATACATACAGGTATGCTTGTGTGCATGCATGCTTATATGCATCCGCCGTACATGCATACATAGATACGTGCAGACATACATGCACATAAACGTAGGTACATACATAGATGCATACATGCATGCATGCATACATCTATACGTACACACATGCATGTGCGTGTAAACATACATATGTGTACGAGGACACACAGAATTTTATGCGTATCAGCATGCCTGCATGCATGTGTGCCTGCATACATACATACTTACATACAGACATGCATACATGCATACAGACATAGATATCTATATATAGAGAGAGATGTGCGTGTGTATATATATATATATAATAATAATAATAGCCTTCGGCCCATGCCTTGACCGCGCCTGGGTGGTAGGCCCGAGGCGGATAGGATGTTCGTTCGGATGTAGCGGGAGGCCTCTCGAAAGCATCATGGAAGCAGCTTTGAGGCCTCCAGGGGCGTTTTGGGGGCCTCCTGGGGGCCTCTTGGGGGCCCCCAGGAGGCCTCCTGGGGGTATCTTGGGACGGAAGGCTCGAATTGTCGGTTCGGGCTCCCACTCAGGGCGACTCAGGGGCCCCTCTTGGGGCCCTCTGGGACGCCTTGGGCGCCTGTGGGGCCATCTTGGGGCCCTCTTGGGCCGTCTTGGGGCCCTTGTGCGGTTGGAGCTGGCTTGGGACGATCTTGAGGGCCTCGTGGGACGCCCTGGAGCATCGGAAGCTCGAAAAGCGGAGAACCCAAAAACATTGGCACACCTAGGGAAGATCAATGATTTGGGTTTGTCGAGGCCCTCTTGGGAAGGCTCTTGGAGGCCTCTTGCCACGTCTTGGGCGATTGTTCGGCCGACTGGAGCACATTTGGGGCGTCTTGGACCGTGCGTTTAACGATTCGGGACCCTCTTGGTCCTTCTTGTAGGCCTCTTGGGGCGCTCTTGGCCCGTCTTGGGGCCCTCGTGGGCCCGAACGCGTCACGCGACAAGCCCCGGGAGCCACGCGAAAAGCCCCGCGAGAGTTTGGACAGCTGGGGTCTGGCCCCAAGAACGGTCAGGCTTTGAGGACAGAGGATCCAGGGAGTTGAGCAAGGGAGCCGAGAACACTCCGAGTCGTGTCTCGGCGGCACGGAGTATAGTGCTCGCAGTTCTGTCTGCATGCGTCACCAGGAGCCCTTTTTCGCTGGTTTGTGTGTATATATATATATATATATATATAAGAGACAATAAAAAAATGTGCGCATTTCGGCGTGGCTGCTACTCTGATGTCTCCAGTGGACACGCTTCTCTTGGCGGTAACGGTAGCCTCACAATGGCAGCATGATTGTGAGCGTTGACAAGATCTTGAAGTACACCGTGTAAAGGAAATCGTGCAGGCGGTATTGACTTGCAGAGATGTCCTCTGCCTAGCGCCAGCTGCTTCAATACACTATGTGCGAAGGAATGTGATGATCGCGTTTGGTTCAAAGTCGTTGGGCCCGTATGTACGCACTGTTGATGCCGATATGGCCAAGGCTTTGCTGTGCTTCTGTCACAGCAGCAGTCAATAATCAAGGGCGCCCTCGAGGGCGCGAAGTTATTCGCGCTTCGCGCTTCGCGGTCCTCGTTCCTTCTCCCCCTTCTCCTCGTCCTCCTATTCTCCCTTTGGGAGGGCGGCGCGAGAGCGCGAAGTTATTCGCGCTTCGCGCTTCGCGCAGCGCGAAGCGCGAAGTTGGGAGCCCTAGATAATTCATGCCATCTGGTTCCAAGCCACCTGCGACTACGAAGGCAGGAGTTCCAAGGCCCGCCGGACACGTCGTGTGCGCGGACGGTGCCCCGACGGGCAGTTGCATCCCCTCCGTCGTCTTGAAGACTCGAGCGCGTTTCGGTGTGCTGGGGAAGTGCAAGGTTGAGTTGACCAGCTCGCACTGGAAAGATCAGCGCCCGGCCAGCGAGTCGTACGAAACAGAGCGTCGTTATCGCCGTGCGGCTCGATCTGATGAGGCTGCGCAGGCGTTCGGGGCGGGCTGTGTCAAATCGACCGGGTTGGGTGCTGTCAGGGGCGTTCGCGGTTCGCTCGGTTCGGTTGTGTTGCAGTCGATTGCGTCCAGTCGATTCGGTTCGGTCGGTGATCGCGTCGTTGCCGCGCCGTTGCGCTTGTATCGGTTGACTGCGGCCTGTCGATGTCGGTCGGTTTCGGTTTCGTTGTCGGATCGGTCGATGTTCGGTTTTGTTGTCGCCGTGGGCGACCTCGGCGGTGTATGTGCACCTGTTTCGTGATCAGCCCAGCAGCTTGTACGGATTGGCCTCGCCATCTGCAGCCAGGCTGGGCTCCAGGATCCGACTGTATATGCTCACGGGCTTCGGGCAGCAGCGCCTCGGTGTCGCCCCATGTGCACCTCCTCTTCGCATGCTCTCCCCTCCCCCGCACCCCCTCCACTTCTCTCCCCCTCCCCTTCTCCCCCTCCCCTTGTCGCCCCATCCACAATTATTCAATATGAATACTACGCTCCCTCTTCTCCTGATGACGTCTTGGGAATATTCGCCCCCCCCCCGCGTATTGTTTTTTACACACAGGTTTCCCCGGAGTTGGGTTTTCGCTTGCACTTTTTTCCAAAATGCTGCTCTCGCTGAGACGCCGGCATCATTTTCGGGCCCCGCTCGTTCCGAATCGTGCTCCCGCTGCAGCGCTGGCATCATTTCCGCCGGCGCCCGGGCTGCACGCCCGAGCCGGCGCCCGGCCGGCGCTCGGGCCGGGTCCGGAGCCGGTTCCGGCCGGCGCCGGAAAATCGAGTTCCGAGGCGGCGCCGAAAAAAGGCAATTCTAATACACATTTTTCTTTTGAAAATGCTGAACTTCTGCTTCCGGCGCCTGGGAGGCTTCCCGGGCCGATTCCGACGCCCAGGCCGGCGCCCGAGCCGGCGCCCGGGCCGGACGCCCGAGCCGGCGCCCGGGCCGGCGCCCAGGCCAGGTCCGGAGCCGGTTCCGGCTGGCGCCGGAAAATCGAGTTCCGAGGCGGCGCCGAAAAAAAACCATTCCAATACAATTTTTTCTTTTGAATTTCTGCTTCTGGCGCCTGGGAAGCCTTCCCCGGAGTTAGGTTTTCGCTTGCAATTTTTCCCAAAATGCTGCTCTCGCTGAGGCGCCGGCCTCATTTTCGGGCCCCGCTCGTTCCGAATCGTGCTCTCGCTGCAGCGCTGGCCTCATTTCCGTGCTTCCGCTCGTTCCGAATCGTGCTCCCGCTGCAGCGCTGGCCTCATTTCCGCGCTTCCGCTCGTTTCGACTCGTGCTCCCGCTGCAGCGCTGGCGTCATTTCCCGTGCCATGCCACGGCATGCAATGCAATGCTAGGTTGATACTACGCTTCGCGGTGCTCTTCTACGCCATGCCATGCCGTGCTCTACAATGCATCGCGCACCCTTTCGGGATCATCGCCGGAGGGAGGGGTAGGATGTCAGATATGACGCGAGCGCACCTAGCTTGCCTTCTCCCCCTCCCCTTCTCCCTTCTCACCTTCTGCCCCCCTCCCCTTCCCTTCCCTCCCCCCGCATCCCTCCCTCCCCTGCTCTCCGCTCCCCTCCGCTCCCGCTGCCTCTTTCCCCCTCCCTCTCCCGCAGGATTCTGGCCATCTTCTTCTTCGTCAACGCGGCGCCACCCGAGCCAACCAGAGACGCCCCCCAGACGCAGTTGCACCAACAAATCGCTCGCAGTCCGAGTGGATGGAGATGGAAGGAGGTTCACGGACGAGGGTGAGGCCAGCAGCAGTTCAGATGGCGATCGAAGCCAGGAGCACATGACCGCAAGATCGCGCCCCGCGTATTTTGGGGCGTATTGGGGCCTTCTCGGCCTCTTGGGGCGTCTTGGGTGCGTCTGGGGAGCCTCTTGAGGCCTCTTGGGGGCCTCTTGGGAGCCGCTTGGGGGCATTTGGGGGGCATCGTGGGGGCCTCGTGGGGCCTCCTGGGCACCGCTTGGGGCCGTCTTGGGGCATCCTTGGGAGCCCCGGGGGCGGAGGAGATCGGTCAAAGGACGGGCCGTACTCACTGAGGGCCCCACACGGGAGCCCAAAATGTGGCCGAAACCTAGGTACAATCAGTGATTCTGGCTTCCTCGCCGAGGCCATCTTGGACGCTCCAACCCCTCGCGAAAGGCCCCATCGAGGTCCAGGAGGATGGGGTAGAGGGAGGGGTAAGCCCCACCCCGAAGGTGAAGAAGGGAGGTTGAAGAGGAAACGCCTTAAACCGCTCGTGGGATTCGCTTTGATCAAGAATTGATGAGCCTCGGTGTGGGTGAAGGTTCAGCGAATGTGAGTCTCAGTCTGAGCAAATCTGAGGCTGGGTCCGAGTGGTTGAGTACGAGTGCAGTTCAGCATGGGTGGGTTTGAGTATGATTGGGCTAGGGAGTCTAGTATAAGTGAGTTCATGTGTGATCTGAGCGTGAGTGGTTCATACTGTCATTGGGCCTGCATGAGTGGGCCTGAGTATACATGAGTCTGGGCGTGAGTGAGTCTGAATGTGGGTGGGTCTGAGTGTGTGAGTCTGGCTCATAAGCGGGAGGGAGGAGGCGGAAAGGAGGAAGGAGGGATACGGAGGCATTTCTCTTCTGGAGGAACTTTCCTAAGACGGGCCCTTGAGGGGCCCAAGACGGCCCAGGGGCTCCCAAGAAGCTCCCAGGAGAGTTCAATATTGTCGCAACAGAGCGAAAAGGGCCCCAGGAGGGTTCCAAAAGCCCCAAGAGGGCTCCTCTTCGCACGGCTAAGCGAGGGGGGGAAGTCTTCTGGCGCTGGATAGGGGTAACAGGAAAAATCGTTGCCCAGAGGGCGGGTGGAAGTTTTAAGACGAGCGTGTGCAGCGCTCACGCGAGGCCCCCATTTGGAAAATCACCCGCCCTAAATCTGTGTACCTGTTGGAATAGCCAAATCTCATAACCAAAAAAACGTGAGAAAGTCTCAGGCGAAGCGCCTGGTGCAAGGAGGATGGCTTAAGAGGAAAATAGGTGAGATGTTGCGGAAGCCCATTTCGCTTGCAAAGTCGAAGAAAATCACCGTTGGTTGGCGAAAGATTCGCGGAAAGCGGCGGATGAAAAAAAACATTGTGCGAGTGGAGGAGGGTAGGAGGAGAGAGGAGGCGAGGGGAGGGAGGTAAGTTTCGTTTGCGCTTCGGAGGTTGACCCCCGGAGGGCCCCCAGAGTGCCCCAGGATCCCTCGGAGGCTTCCGAAGAGCAGAAGCGGGCCAGAGACGCCCAGAACCGTCCCGAGGCATCCCAAAGAGCGCCCATCCTCGATCTTCCAGGGTAGCCCTACCGGCAGTGGGCACCCCCTTCCAGTACGCAGCATTCGCTCCCAATGTTCGCGGTGGTCTGCCTGTCGGTGGTGTCCAGTCTTGCTGCTATCTGGCAGGATGGCATGAGCAATGGCACGCAGAAAACTGAAACACCCGTCGGGGGAGAAAAATCCTCGACCTTCCAGGGTCGAGCGGCAAGCGATAAGTCGGGCCTGTCCCTCTACAGGAGGAGCAGTCAAAAGTTGTCCAAATACAGTCGGTGGACGATGTGTCTACTCTTGTCGACCGCGCTCGATTACTGTTGGCTGCTTTTGCTTTGTCGTCCAGAGCCCCCGTGCAGGAGGACACGCCCGACCTGAGGCCAGCGGAGGAGGGGAGGGGGCCGAGGTGTGCCTGCGGGCCGCCTCGCGGGCCCCCCTTCGGCTCCGCACGCAGGCGCTCTTCGTCTCCTGGCACGGGTCGCAGTGGCTGCAGCAGGGCGGGGCGGCCAAGGCCGCCCGCGCCCCCGCGCCGCGCTCCGCGAAAGGGGCCGCAGGGGGCGCGCGGGCGCCGGGGGAGGCCGGGGCACGACGGCGCCAGAGCGCTTCGAGCCGACGTTCGCCGAGGGCGGAGGGGGAGACGAGGGAGGGAGGGGGAGGGAGGGAGGAGGCGGGGGGGCGAGAGGTAGAGGAGGAGACGACGGAGGAGGGGGGGGAGGCGGAGAAGCGAGAGGTGGAGGAGGAGACGAGGAAGGAGAGTGAGGAGCAGGGGGTAGGCTGGGAGCGAGGAGTCGGAGGAGGAGGAGGAGGTGGTGGGAGGGGAAGGGGGGAAGGGGTACAGACGAGCGTGAAGGCCGAAGCGCCCGTGAGTAAGTCACGGGGGGGCGATTGGGGAGCGTTCCTCTCTTCTCCTCCTCGTCCTCCTCCTCCTCCTCTTCCTCCACGCTCGTCTCCTCCTCACCTTCCTCTAGCTCCTCTGTCACCCTCCTCACACTCCTCCGTCATCCTGCCCCTCCTCATCCCCCTGCTCTCCGCAGTCTCCGCAGAGCTGGTCAGAAGAGATGACACCCTGCGAAGCGACGGGCAACCCTGGCAACGGAACAACACCCACCCTCCGACCGCTTTGACCTTGATCTCCAACCCCTTCCTCACCCCAAAGCAGCTATTGGAGCGCAATCAGACCGCTTACAAGGTACAACGAAAAAGCACACCAGTTTCGAAACATGAGGGGCTACATTGCCGTCGCCCGTAAAGCCGCGCTCATGCGCAGCGAAGCGACAATCGTTTCGCATCCCGTCCCGGCCTTTGCCTCCTCCGCCTACCAGAAGCCGTAGACGGGATATAAGAGAGAGAAGCTAGGATATAGGACCAGAGGAGGTGTAGAGCAGCAGGAAGGAGGGCAGTGAACGGTAAGGGGTGGGAAGGAAGGTTGGCCCACTCCTACTACGTCCCTCCTCCCTCCCCCCGTCTCGCCCCCCCCTCTCTCCTCATCCTCCGCTCCCTCCTCCCTCCTCCTCCTTCGTCACTCTCTCCTCATCCTCCCCCTCCTCCTCCTTCTCCCCCTCCTCCCACAGCCCTCGATTCCTCCATATCCTCAATCCTCACGCCACCCCGCCCCTCCGACGGTGACCACCACTTCCTTAGGAGTAAGAAAAGGAGAAGGGAGAAGGACGATGAAGAGGAGAGAAGATGAGAGAGGAGGGAAGAGAGACGAGGGAGGAGGGAGGATGCGCTGTACAATAAAACTCATATGCATCAGGTCTGCTGTAAAACAGCCTCCCTCCCCAAGTCCTCCCATCATGTGTCCGTCCACGTACTTGTTTCCCCCCTCGGGAACTCCCCTTCGATCGACGAACACCCCATGGGCCTACTTCCCATGGAGGCGGGATCCCTGCTATGAGAAGGAACCGTCTTTCCTCCTTGAAAAAATTGCCCAGGTGCACAATCGTAAAGCCCAAGGAAGTGGCAGGCAACAGCTGAGATTGGAAAAAAAATGTCCCCATCCCTATCATCACTGCTCATGCTCAAACTTTGTGGCGCAATACACGAGGAAGTCTTAAGCAAGAGCCCAATGTCGAAAACGAGCCGGCATCCATCTGAATGTACGCGGGAGCGGCGCTCGTTTTTGGTCTGCGGGTCGAGAGCGAGCTTCTTCCGCGGGAGCGGCGCTCAGGCGTGGACGTAATTTGAAAGCGACGTGTGATCCATCTGTGTGGCTTCTGCACACCAAACGAACGTGTGCAGCGTGACCGCGAGATACATGTTTTTAAAGTGGTTCCCGCTGCAATGCTACAAGTTGTACGACGAATCCACGCGGTGCTAAGGCGACGGGCACATGTTGAAAACGGGCCACCCTCCATCCTTGTAACTGCTCGAAATATCAAGCTTCAGTCTGATAAATTGCCACAAAGTGTTACTTACAATGGAGTGCGATGTGAAGGAGGGGGCGAGGATGAGGAAAAGAAACAGAAGGAGGATGGTGGAGGGATGGAGGGAGAAGGAGGATGGTCTTTGCCCCCCCATCAGTAAAAATCCGCCAAAGAACACCTGTGCGCCTGAAGTTGTCCAAAATGCGAAAAGGAGATAGAGCCGGATGAAGCAAGGTGCATGAAGAAAGAGACAGGAGAAAAAAACAAACAAGAAAAATGAGAAGGAGAAGGGAGGAGGAGAAGGAGAAGGAGGAGGAGGGGGAGGAGGAGATAGAGGAGCAAGAGGAGGAGGAGGACGCGGAGGAGGAGGAGGAGAAGGAGCAGGATGGACGACGCACGCTCTTGCTCGTGCCCGCTGCCAGGCCGCCAGCACTCTCACGGCAAGCAGGCGGTAGCGC